TTATTATTCTAATTTCACGGATGTTTGGGAATAATTAAATAGAACATGTTAAGACAACTATGTAAATGGCAACACTGTTTGGCTGTTCTGTATTACTGCTCTTGCCACATGTGTTTACCCACGTCTGCGGTGCCATATTACAATTTCCCACTCCTGGTGTCATTTTTCTCTTTCTGCTGTTGTGTGTTATATATTTCAAAGCTATGTTATTTGATTCTTAAGATTTATGAGTTTTATATGTTCTTTGAGAATAGTGCCCTTTATCAAAATAAGATTTTAAAATCCCATTTAATGCACTTGATCTGGAATATGACTTTGCCATATATTACTGTTGCTTTGCCTGCTTTAATTTATGTTTACGTTTCCTTTTACATTCAATATTTCTCCCTTAAAATGTTAGAGTACAGGCAAACAAAATAAAGAGATAATTTAGGAGTGTTTCTCATACACACCGGGCTGCTTTCAAAAGTGCCTTTTGTATACAACATGCATTAGAATGTTAAAAACAGAAATCTGAACGTTTCTGTCATTTAATAAGACTGATTAACCCGTTTATGCTTACAAGATATTTGGTTATAGCTGTCATTTGAGTAGATGTTCTTTTCTGTGCTTTGCTCCACTCTTTGCTTTGTTTTCCTGTGCAATATGGACCATATTTTCTTTGAGTTGTTTCCCCCACTCTTGAGTGTTTGCATACTACTAGTGTTTCATTTTTAGATCTTAAATGCAACACAGTTGAAATTGACATTGTTTAACTAACAATAACAGCCAGCATTTAGTGTTTCTACATGACACATAAAAAACTGGCATATTTGCATGTATGTCTGTGCAGGGGGATGTGCACATGAGTGAAGTTACCCATGGAGAGAGGAGAGAGTCTCAGACCTGTGACATGCAAGCTAGGATGGTACTTGGGTCCTTTGAAAGAGCAGCACACCCTCTTAACCATGAAGCCCTCTCGCCAGACCTTGTTTTTATTTTTCGTTTAATTTTAGGTAACTAATTTTTTTATGCTCAGCTCTAGAGATTGAATCCTGAGCATTGCACACGATAAGCAAGTGCCCTGTCTCTGAGCTAAATACTTAGGTAAAAATATAGAAAATTAAAAAAATTAAAAGAAAACCCACCCCATCCAACCTCGGTACCCAGCCAGATCCTGGACACCCTTCTCCAAGGTCTAGCCCAATAACTGTAATCGTCACACCACATCAAGGAAACTTCTCTTTCAATAGACAGAGACCATTAAAGAAAACCACAACAAACCAAAGTCCAGAGTTGTGGAGCCAAGTCCCAAATGACACATCTACAATACAACTCCCACACGTGAGGCTCAAAGATCATTGAGGGAAGAGGTCAAGGAGTTTTCTGTGAGACTGTGTCTCCCGATAATATCAGAAACTGTACCTTTAACTCTCATCAACATGACCTTAATTAGAACAAGAACAATAGGCACGCTAACACTCCAGGGATTGCTCAGGAGGTACCTATCATCTACAAAGAACTATAGACAATCAAGGAACACTGAAAGCTAGAGAAAGCCTTTCCCAGGAGAATGAGCACCAATTGGCTATCAAATATCAAATGATCATCCCTGGAAACATACATATAATTAGCATTATATAGACCAAAGTGATTATATTTAGGAATATATATTCAGGCACATGATGACAGTTAACGAAAAGAAAGGTCATAGATTTGAGAAAGCCCAAGGAAGTAAGGATACATGGGAAGGGTTTGCAGGGAGAGAAGGGAGGTAGGGGAAATAATGTAATTACATTAGAATCTCAAGCTACAAAAGACATACTTCTTAAAATCTTTTATTTTGGGAGAAAGTCTGTTAAGTTGCCCAGACTAACCTTGAACTCTGTAGAGCAGGCAAGCCTTGAAATTGTCATTTCTTCAATTCTAAGCATGTGACACTTGGCAATGGACATATTTCTCATAGTTTTTATTCCTGAAGTTTAGCAATCAATGTATGACATAGGGAATACCATTTTCACACATACTTCAAAGATGAAAAACTGAGCTATCAGGAGGCTAAGTATCTAAGTTTCTTCAAAACCAGGATCAGAATCAAACACAGTGAGATCCAGGAACTCACTTTCACTTAACCTTCCTGCTCTAATGCTTAATGATATCTTTTTTTTAAATATTTAGGAATCAAATATTGCTATGTGTATGCATGAAAAATGTTAATATCTTGTCTAATTTATTTCCCTTTTATGTGTCTATTTTGCTTTTATCTTTTCTAGAAGTCATATGTATTATTTAGAAACTAATTTTTCAATAGTCGTTTTGGTTTAAAACTTATTTAACTGCTCATGATCATAAACTTGACAGATGCAGGACTATTGGATTAAAATCCTCACTACTATCAAGCTCCAAGCAGGCGCCGTTTCTTCTGGCATCTAGTTATTCAGAGAGAAGTATAAGTCAAGAAATGTGTTTGTGTGTGTGTGTGTAGATGAATGTATGATAGGGTTATTTACACATACACACTCACACGGAACTATACACACACTTCAAAAATGAACTTTAGTTACAGACCCAAGTTCCATTCTGTTTAAGGGAGGGCAGTGGTATCAGGTTTAGAATAATAACAAAAAACATGAGACATGAGACCAGGTTTTACGAAGAGTAAACTCCATCTATTAGAAAGAATGTAGGTAAGGTGATTGGGTAGAATGTAGGAGAGGATTTTGCTGAGGTCTTTGGACCCAGATCAGTTTCCGTTGATCTCCCACTATTCATGATGGAGTAGCATGGTCCTAGAAATGACACTGAGTGCACAGGTCCTGTGTTAGCCTCTGGGAGCCATGAGCACTTGTACTTGAACTTTTTCACCTACATCCTATGCATGTTTGACCAGGGTGAAAAACATGTGACAAAATCTTGAAAGTTTCTCTAAGGAGAAAGGACAAAATTGGGCTACTTATTAAAACTTCAAAGTCCAATTTAAAGGCTGGTGATTTAATGTAGGGGTGGGGGTAGGATTAAGTAAGGATTATGGCATGGTTGTTTCAGATTCATGAACATTGGTTTTGAGGAAAGAGATTCAAATAATTTTGGGTGGACACTTGATTGCTGCTCTATTTTATTTTCTTGGACAAGACTTTTGTGAAATAGTAAAGGTCATGTGAATGTGGACAGTCAGCCCCAGGTGCTGCGTGACTTTATCAGTTTCAAGGAGTATGTGATTCCAGGTCAAATTCCTTTGCTCTTCATCTTTAGCTCCTTCTCATTTTCGGTCTCCTTTTTTTTTTCCTTCTCCAATACCTTTTCTGTTTCTCTTCCTCTCTTCACTTTTTTCCTCCTCTTTTTCTTCCTCTTCCTTCTCATCCATCAACTTTAGCTATCTGCCTGTCTGCCTCTTGATTGTTGAGCTTACCAACGTGAGCCACTAGTTTAAATTCCACAAAAAATTTCTGTACTCTCTTGAGGGTAGAAGAAAATTCATAGAATTATTTGCTTCTCTTTGTTCCCAACACATTTTGTTTTTGTTTTTTTCTGCAGGTCTCAAGTAGTTCAATACTTAACTATTTGTAGCCATGCCATTTCGTTAAACTGTATTTAAAACTTTATTTATTTATTTATTTATTTATTTGTTTTCTGTTATAATCCTTTTCCATTTCTGCTGTAGCAAATTATAAAAAAATGTAGTAGTTTAAATGAGATTAAAAACAACCCTCAAATTAGAAAATTGACGTGGCAAAGACCAACGTGTTAAAATGTCCTTCTTCTGAATCCTTAAGGGATCATTTTTTGGCCCTTTTAGCTTCTGGAATCTTCTTGTATTCATCTATTGACTGTGACATCCTTTGTCTTCCATATCAGGCTATCAGACTGAGTTCTCTTTGGTTCTCATCAGCTAGGAAAATGTCTTTGCTTTTAATAACTTATAATCACATGGACTCCAACCGGATAAGACAGGATAATCTCTGGAAATTGTCATTGTAAAGTCTCTGTGCCCATTTAAGGTTAAGTGCACACATGTTCATGGACGAGTACATACATATTTGGGGCACATAACTCTGCCTATGTATAAACATTTTCTCTACACTATACACTACCATAATATATTCACAAATGTCTTAAATATTTTCATGATTAGTCTCTCTCTCTCTCTCTCTCTCTCTCTCTCTCTCTCTCTCTCTCTCTGTGTGTGTGTGTGTGTGTGTGTGTGTGTATGTGTATGTGTGTGTATGTGTTTCATTTACCCAGCAGGCTTAGTCATCAAGTGAAAAGCACGGTTGTTTCTTCTTTGCTCTGTTGATCTGAGATCTTAAACTGGATAATATTTATCAACCAGTACTCCTGTGTTGCAATGGGACTGACTATGTTCCCTCCGGTTCTTGAAGTCACTGTAACCAGATGGAGTTCACAGGGTATCTCAAGTCATTCCCCTTGTTATGATTAGTGACAATATCGTCAGAGATCTTAAAGGTTGTTAACTAGGTGTCCTTGTTTCAATAGCTTTTCCATATTTTGGGTAATGCTGTGTTTACATCTAGTATTTAAATCTGGAATCCTAGTAGGAAAATCCAGTTGTTACTGGTCTGTCTTCTGTTAATCTAGCATCCCATGGGTAAACTGTCTTTTGTTTTCCTCCAGAGTGCTCATAACTTTCCGCTAATGCCTTGACCCACTTTACTGTGTGCGTCTGGGGCTCATAGTCTCTAGTGCTCTGGGTATCTTCTGTCATCATGGCAACCACACTATGGAGATAAGAAAAACATTTTATGTCCTTGCCTTCTTGCTTATAGTGCAATGTGCAAACAAATCTCTTATGTAGATGTGTGCAGAAACAATACTGTCTCTTTAGCCCCCTGAACCTCTCCTAAGAACATCCTCTCATCACTCAATGCTTTGTACATATCAGCCAGGTTGGGTTGGCAAAAGCACTTCTAATAATTTCAAAATTTAGAAAATAAAAGATATTTCCTGTTTGAACTATTAGATAAATATTAATAATATGTATGTTTGTTTTGTTTCTTTTCTAGACACATCTTGAAATTCTGGAAAGAAGCATCGATCACAGGAAAGTCTACTTCCGGCATGATGTTATCTGCCAAACGCTGGGAGGGAATCCATGCCCACTGGTGACAATCACTGCCTTTCCTGAATCTAACAGCGCTGAGCATCTGGAACAGTTCCGTGAGTAAAACGATGACACTTTTTCTCACAAATCTGGCTGAGAGGCCCTTCTGCAGTCTTGGGAATGCACCATCCCTTTTAGAACAGAAGGTCTATAATTGAGTTGGGACTTGTCTGTCTTGATGGAAATACATCACCGAGTCTTCTTAATATGACATGAAGAGTAAATGTTAATATCATTCTGTTGTTAAAGAATGGGGAAAATGAATTGCTAACTGTCAGGAAGAGGAAATGACCTGCTAGAATACAGAGCAGACCATCAGTGGTGATGACTTCCTTCCTCATTGAAAACAGACCCAGACCTCTGAATCACTTTTTCCAGCTCTAATCCAGGCTCCTGTCTCTGCATGCTCACTGTTCTGTTTCTCTCAGTTAGGTAGTATGGCAAGGAAGGAAGCAGAGTCTTTGAGCCCTGGCTGATAAATCCTCTTGGTAACCTGAGTATGCCTGCATCTGAAAGTCTGAGGATATAAGAGTATATAGGTAGTATTTCTGAAATCAAAGCAAAGCCAAATCAAGAGCACAGATAAACACACTGACATTGAGACACATGTGGATGCATATGCAGTCATACAGACACATGGCAAAAACACAGACACCCCAATATACAGATCCATCACACTCTTTTAATACTAGAGTCCTGAGGATATTTGACTGACTTGTTACCAATGAGCTTCAGACCTCTGTGAGGCAAAACAACAAAAAAGAACGAGGAAACAAAAAGAAATGAAGAAGATGAAAGAAAAGACTGGCAAATAAAAGCCAAGCTCATTTATCCCCAGAAAATATATCATTTTTACCTGATGAAGTGCTAATGATATTCAGGTGACTCTTTGGTAGATACAAAATGTAATTTCTCACACCCCATCAACATTTGACAATGGATGCTTAACAACCTGGCTAATCAACAACTATTATCCCATCTGAATTGACAAGGCCCTAAAATGCCTTAATGAATAGTAAGGGATTTAAAAAAAATTCTCTTATGTGTTTTATGCATTTAAGAGCAATTTCCCAGCAGCAATAGAGCCCTCTACTTGGCAGATGAGCAGAGCCTCGAGTCGAAGGTAGTAATCCAAAGCAATCTTTAATGAGTAATTATTTGTTTTAGAAAGTAGATACATATAAATCTCTGTTTTCCAACTTGTGTTTCTAGAGAAGAGAACATAAAAGGTACATGAAAATACACATTTATTTTAACTAATAAAAATATCAAGCAGAAATCAGCCTCCATTGATTACTACTTGATCTTTCCCTGCTTTCTTTCTGTTTTCAATTGGATTGTTTCTTGGAGTTTGAGTTTATGGCATTATAATCCTCTGGTAAAAAAAGAATAAGTTCTGCATGCTATTTATGTAGTTAACATGTATATTTTCACATGTCTTCCTGCTTAGAAGAACTGTGGCTTTCTTTGATACCTATCTTGCATCTCTACCATCTTGGAATTCTTTAATAAAAAGTTTCTACCAGGTATTTATAGCAATAAAGAAGGCAGTTCAGCTTGGAGAACGGGATCCAATGGCAGGCAACAGCATCCACTCCAATTGTTAGGGGACCACATGAAGACCAAGCTTCACATCTGATATAAATGTGTTGGGGGCTTAGGTCCAGCCCCTGAATGTTCTTTGGTTGATGGTTTAGTCTCTGAGCCTCCATGGTCCCAGGTTAATTGAATCTGTCGGTCTTCTTGTGGTGTCCTTGACCCCTCTTGCTTGCTCAATCCTATCCCCTACTCTTCCACTAAACTTTCTGAACTCTGCCTGATGGTTAGCTACAAATCTCTGCATCTGCATCAACTTGGTACTAGATGAAACCTCTCAGGAGACAGTTATGCTAGGCTCCTGTCTGCAAGCATAGGAGCAAGTATCATTAATAGTGTCAGGGGTTGCATTTCTCACAGGGGTTGGGTCTCAAGTGAGGCCAGTCATTGGTTGTCTGTACCCTCAGTCTCTGCTCCATTTTTATCCCTGTTCATCATGCAGGAAGGACAAATTTTAGGTGGAAGGTTTTGTGGGTGGATTGATGTCCTTCTTACTCCACTGAAAATCCTACCTCGCTATAGGAGTTGGCCACTTCAGTCTCCATATCCTCAGCTAATAGGAGTTTCAGATAAGATAACCCCAATAGACTCCCCAGTCTCATGTCTGGCTAGTCCCAGAGATGCCCCTCCACACAATTTCTGTTCTCATTCCCAGCCATCCCTTGCCCCCCCCCAATTTGATCTCTGTTCTCCTCACCCCTTCTCCCACCCAATTCTCTCCACCCACACACTTCCAATATCTCTTTTATTTTCCCTTTTGAGTGAGATTCACAATCTTCCCTTGGTCTCTCCTTATTACTTAGTTTCTTTTAGTCTGTGGATTGTAGCATGGTTATCCTGTATTTTATGGCTGATATTCACTTATACTTGAGTACATACCATGTGTGACTTTCTGAGTCTGGTTACCTCAAACAGGATGATACTTTCTAGTTTGATCCCTGTGGTTGCAAATTTCATAATGTCTTTGTTTTTAATAGATGAATCATATTCCATTGTATAGATGTACCACATTTTCTTTATTCATTCTTTAGTTGGGCATCTAGGTTGTTTTCAGTTTCTGGCTATTATGGATAAAGCTGATATGAGCATAGTTGATTAAGTGTCTTCAAGGGATGGTAGAGCATCTTTTGGGTATATGTCCAGGAGTAGTATAGCTGGGTCTTGGGATAGAACTGTTCCCAATTTTCTGAGAAATTGCCAATTGATTTACAAAGTAGTTGTCCACGTTTGTACTCCCACCAGAGATGAATAAGTGCTTCCCTTGAATCACATTTTAGCTATTTTGGCAATGTATAAGATAGAGTTTCATGGTTCTTCTTTTTCTTTCTTTTTTTTTTTTTTGTTATGTGGGTTTTTTTTTGTTTGTTTTTGTATTTCCCTGATGACTGTGCACACTGAACATTTCTTTAAGTGCTTCTCAGCTATTAGAGATCCTTTTGTTGAAAATTCTCTGTTCAGCTCTGTACCCCATTTTTAATTGGGTCATTTGGTTTGTTGGTGTCTAATTTCTTGAGTTCTTTACATATTTTTGACCTTAGTTCTGTGTCAGATGTAGAGTTGCTGAAGATCTTGGCCCATTCTGTAGACTGACACTTTGTTCTACTGGTGGTGTCCTTAGCCTTGCAATTTTTTTTTCAGTTTCATGAAGTCCCATTTATTAATTGTTAATCTTAGTGACTGAGTTATTGGTGTTCTGTTCAGAAATTGAACATTGATGCAAAAATATCAAAATTCAGAAACCGGATCTAAGAACACATCAAAAACATCATCCACCACCATCACTTACACTTCATCCCAGGGATGCAGGGATGGTTCAATGTGTGAAAATACATCAATGCAATCCATCATATAAACAAACTGAAAGAAAAAAAAACACATGATATTCTAATGAGATGCTGAAAAAGCCTTTGACAAAATCCAGCATCCCTTCAGTTTAAGAATCTTGGGGAGATCTGGGATACAATGCTCATATGAAATGTAATAAAAGCAATATAAAGCAAGCCAATAGCTAACATCAAATTAAGTGGAAAGTTAAGACAATTCCACTATAATCAGGGACAAGACAAAGCTGCCCATTCTTTTTGTATTTATTCAACATAGGACTTGAGGTTCTAACTAGAGCAATAAGACAACTAAAGGAGATCAAGGGGATATAATTTGGAAAGGAAGAAGTCAAAGTCTTGCTGTTCTCAGATGATATAATATTATGCATAAATTACCTCAAATATTCTACCAGAAAACTCTTATTGCTGATAAACACCTTCAGCAAAGTGGCAGGATACAAAACTATCTTGAAGAAATCAGTAGCCCTCCTTTACAAAAACAATAAAAAGGCTGAGAAAGAAGTTGAGGAAACAACACCCTTTACAATAACCAGAAAAAATATAAAATATCTTGGCTTAACTCTAACCAAGGAAATGAAAGACCTGTGTGACAAGAACTCCAAGTCTCAAAAGAAAGAAATTGAGGAAGCTATCAGAAGATGGAATGATCTCCCATGCTCATGAATTGGTAGGATTAACAGAAAAAAATAGGCATCTTACCTAAAGGAATCTATAAACTCAATGCAGTTCCTATCAAAATTGCAACACAATTCTTGTGAAGAAGGAATTCTGAACTTCATATGGAAAAACAAAAAACCCCACTATAGCTAAAACAATCCTGAACAATAGAAGATCTTCTCGGGGAGTCACTATCCCTGACCTCAAGCTGTACTACAGAATAATAGTTATGAAAACTACATGAATTTGGCATAAAAACAGACAGGTTGATCAATGGAATAGAATCAAAGACCCAGAGGTAAACCATCACAGCTATGGACATTTAATTTTTGACAAAGAAACCAAAACCATACAATAAAAAATGAAAGCATCTTCAACAATGTTGCTGGTAAAAGAATGCAAATAAACCCAAATCTATCACCCTGCACAAAACTCAAGTCCAAGCGGGTTAAAGACCACAATATAAAACCAGACATACTAAATCTAATAGAAAAGAAAATGGAGACTTCCTTGAACACAGTCAACCCAACCCAAATTGTAGTTATATGACAAGTGGGCATCTTCATTGCCTTCATCCAAGTGATCTGTGGACAATGGGGATATTTCTTAATTTATAATTGATGTGGGAGGACCTATTCCACTGTTGATTACATCAAGATTTTCCTGTGCTTTACAAGACAGTAAGTTGAGCAAGTCATTGGGAACACCCAAGTAAGAAGTGTTCTGTTCTTTCTGCTTAGCTCTTGCCTCTGGTACCTGTCCTGTTTGAGTTCCTGCCCTACTTTCCCCAGTGATGAACTGTGACATGGGACAGTAAACCAAAAAATCCTTTCTTCCTCCAATTGGTTTTGGTTAATGTTTGTGAAAGCAATAGAGAATCAAACTAACGCAGGCTAAAGTGGTATTTTCCTGAGATTGGAAAGATTAATGGGGGAAGAAAAGAGAGAGGGGATGGCCTG